CAGCTACAGAGTTCTTTCATATACTTAGTAAATAAAACCACATATCTGAGAAGTTACTATAGTGTGTTCATGCACAGCCTTGCTTATTCTTTGAGATCTACAGTAAACTGAACATATTTTTCTTTATTTATGACATTGGGAAGGATTGGCTTTCTTCTTTGAAACAAAAGACAAAGAGAAACTGTATAAAGAGAACACATATACTTATCCTTGTGAAAAACCTGTAAACCCAAGTCTGAGTACTATGGCCAGAATCTTCATTGCCTTGCACTGCTTGCTGTGTCAATGGCACATCACAAAGTTTGAACTATTGAAGTATGTTCTGTAGTTCCTTTGAGTCAACTTGTTCCATGGTAGAGGTTCAGGTAGTTGGTGTGAGATCATCTTCTGACAAATATTACCCTCTTATAGTAGTACATTGCCCCTGTAGAATCTCATAGTACTGGTATAACAAGCTAAGGGGAGTCAGGTAAGAGGTGTAACTAAAAGAATATCCCCGTTGCTGTGAGCAGATGTTGCATCTGGAAGTCCAAATTAGAGTAAGGGCTGGAGCTGTCTAGACTTCCACTGGGGACCACACTGGATCCTGCAGCCAGATCAACAGTTAATTCATTTCTGCCACTGTGATTTAGTCACAGTGTTGATCTTGCTCTGCTGCAGAATCACTATGCGATTAGCATAGCAGTAGAAAATCTGGTTCTGCTTCCTGGTTTAAATGGCACAAGTTCGCTAAAACAGAAATAGTTCAGTTATGATCATACAAAGCCCTTCTCTGGAAAACACTTATTTTCCTTTAGTGACTTCTGATGTGCTAACATTTTAACTGAGTGTGTTTTCTGTGTATTCAGTTTATGCCATCAAGGAAAGCAATTTGCTGTAATGCTACTCAAGGCACCCATTAGTAGCAAACAGCAATCTGTGTTTTTAGAGAACCAAGGCTGTTATTTCACAAAGGGAGCCATTCAATTCTGCCTTAATCCTCTAACCAGTAAAGCTCATCTTCCAGGTGTTATTCCTGACTATTTTACTGATACTGGTTTCTCAAAAATGTTTAGAAATTTAGAGTCAAATTTAGATTGTTGTTGGTGATTTATTAAGAAAAACACAATATTATATATATCTATATCAATAAATGTAAATTCTCAATTATTTGTTTTTGAGTTAACAGAGAAAATTGCTAGATGCCACATGGTTTTGGTTTTAGTTGCATATTTTTATCATCTAAGTTGAAAGATGAGTGTTTAACTTAAACCCCCTCTTCCTAATCATTCAGGAAGTTTATTGCACTCTTTTGTTGTTGAATCTTGTTGAATCAATAACAGTGAATAGTGATAAACATTTTCCTGACACTGATACTTTGAATGCATCAAATTCTGCAGCTCCATAGTCTGTGTTATCTGTAGATATGTATGATCTGACTGAGGATCTGATCTGGCTGAATTGAATGACTCCACAGAAGTCCTCTGACTTAAGTAGAATATGTACTGTCATCTGTTGCATTGCCATTTCTATTTAATGACGTCTGAAGCACTGCAGTGTGAGATATAATTAAAGCAAGTGTGATATTTAGAGAATAACTGAGAATTTTTTTGCAGCTATTAAAAATCTTGTCAGATTAATTTTATTTAAAATCTCATTTTCACACAATGATTTCTTCTGATCTTCACCATCTGCATAACAAGTGTAATCAGCAAGCTGAATTTAAAATATCTGCAACTTATGCCCTTGAAGTCAATCACAAATGAAACCTGAGAAGAATGTGTTCTGGTGGGAAAAAAAAAATAAAAATGAAGAAATCCTTTCTATTAACCTCTCCCCACCAAGGCAAAATATTACCCTTGCTTAAAAAAAGTACTAATAAATGTATTTAAACAACTTAATGGTGAAATTCTACTTGTCTTCATAAGATCTTGAAGTCAAAGCTGATTTAGAAACGTCCAGCTTTCTTTTACAAGCAGCACATCAGCAGAGCACATAGAATACGCATGACAAATTTGAAAGCCATTCTGTGCAAGGATGTGACCCTCCAGAGCTTAACAGAAAGATGGCCTCTTAGGAAGTAGCCACAGAACAATGTTGGTGGGAGCATTTACAACATTATCCTGCAGCATTTCCTCACAGTGTTGCTTTCTTCTTTTAACAGTTGACAAGAAAATGCTCGTTGATGTTGAGGGAGAAAAATTGACTCCATGCAGAGGGGTTTTTACAATTCCACCATAAATATTTCTTACACATACCTTTGTCCTTGTGTGTTGAAAAGTCCAGTGCCAGGTGATTCTACTGACTCTTTGTCCAGTACTGTACTCACTAGGAAGTGCTTTTGTTACAGTACAGGCTTTTCTGTTGTCTGGATCAGAAGGTTGCTGGTAAATTTCCTTCCTGTTAACTGTAGTTGAGTAATATTCTCTATGAGGAAAAGAATCAATGCAAATGGTAATCCTTCAAAACAGCTGAGACAGCACTGCATGCCAGAGGGCTGAAAAACTGGGAATGAACATCCTCTGATTTACTAGTGAGATCCGTTCCTCCTGTGCAAGTATTTAATCTGCTGACAAGGAGAAAAGGGACTTTGTACAGCTTAGAGACCAATCTAACATCACAAATATGACACAAACAAGTATATATATACATGCCTTTGGAAGCAATTGTACTGCAACAAAATTAATATCTCCTCTGTCTCCACTTCTGTGCATACAGTTGTAAGGGTGCTGTAAGTTCCTACATATCAATATGTGTGGGAAGAAAATGCTGTTCTGCAATGTAAAAAACCTTGCAGATTTGCTCACTCCCTGTTAAAGCATTAAAGAAAACTGATGACCAAAAGCGTCCAGATCCAATTTTCTCCTAATCAAAGTCTACTGAAGTGCATAATGGCTTACTTCATGAACTTCCCTACAGTATCCATTAGATAAAACCAGTAAATAATAAGAAATCAATTGAAGAATGCTACCTTTCCATCTGCAAGCTCATCCATTGTGATTTATTGGTAGTTCTTTGTGCTACATGAAAGCTTTTCCTTTGTTTTCTGATTTGGTGTGAAGTTATGAAACCCCGCATCATGCAGGCTTACTCCTGCCAAGAACCAGCTATGAGAAATGTCACTGATTAAAATGTGCACATTTTGTTTGCCAGTGATTACTTTGTTCTGATAACATTTTGAAAGCTTAATGAACTCTGGTACTTCCTATCCTAGTAACTAGCAGTGACTTAGAAATAAGAATTAAATATATTTCTAATGGAAAGTCAGGGTGAGGGCTGAATAAATAAAAATAAGGAGTTTATCAACTCCAACAACAGTTTCTTCTATGGGAACTAACATTAGAGCATTGCTTAGCTGAAGTACACAGGAAATTTGATACCAATCAACTTCTATCAGGAGAAGCATAGTCCAGTTCATAAAAATATCCCTATATACACACCTCTATGTCCATGGCCATGTAAGTATTAGTGACTTATTAATCCAATTTGGGTTTTTGCAGATGTAACCTTGTTCTCAGCTGGGACACTGTTTTACTGCTTTCCTATCCTAAAAGATAGGAAAGCAGTGAGACAGTGGGAAGGCTAAGAGCACGTTGGGACTGGGAGAAAGTATATATCCCCATTTCTGCAAAGTGTGTTTCCACATCTCTTCTCCAATTCCCTACCACATATCTGTTTAGCGAATTGCCACTCCTCCCATACCAAACAGAAGATGGGGTCCAGTGGACGATATGGAATTGAAATGGTGATAAAGTTTATGAGAAAGTTTATATATCTTCAAGGCAAAGTTGTAGGAAAGACAGGGTATTTTATTAGAATCATTCATATGGTTGGGAAAAACCAGATGAGCTTTTGGGCATACAAGCCCTTCTTCAGTTCTGTGGAATGTGTGCATTTCGTTGAATAATTTCTATTTACTGAAGTAGTGCTCACCATCCATGGTTAACTTCAACTTGCCTTTAGCAAAGAACATGAATTCTTTTGAAAAACCTGAAATAAATCTTGGAAGAATTGTATGGAAATGGCTTTTCTTTTTAAAGTCTCTGAAAAGGAGGTAGAAAGTGAAGACTGCAGCTGGGTGGGTACTCTTTATGCACAGGGTACAGGCAGTCTGTGTGTACTCTTCATTTTCTCCTACAGCCATAAGTATGCCTTAGTTTGCACATCATGGAGCAACTCTTGAATATAAAGTTTGCTTCAAACAGCAGATTTCCCCACTGGGGTTTTTAGTAGGATGCCAGTTCTAGCTGGAGTTTAGCAGCATTGTCAGTGATTCACTCTAGGAATGTATTAAGGAGCTACAGCATTTCACATGAGCAAGGAAACATGGTCAGGTGGTAACTAACCACTAGCAGCTATAGACGTGGGCCAAAATCAAATCAACCACCTGGATGTGAAAGGCCATGTATCATATTTAGCCTGGAGAAGAGAAGGCTGCGTGGAGACCGCATAGCAGCCTTACAGTATCTGAAGGGGGCCTATAGGGATGCTGGGGAGGGACTCTTCATTAGGGACTGTAGTGATAGGACAAGGGGTAATGGGCTAAAACTTAAACAGGGGAAGTTTAGATTGGATATAAGGAGGAAATTCCTTCCTGTTAGGGTGGTGAGGCACTGGAATAGGTTGTCCAGGGAGGTTGTGAATGCTCCATCCCTGGCAGTGTTCAAGGCCAGGTTGGACAAGGCCTTGGGTGATATGGTTTAGAGCGAGGTGTCCCTGCCCATGGCAGGGGGGTTGGAACTTGATGATCGTAAAGTTCTTTCCAACCCTAACCATTCTATGATTCTATGATTCTATATTCAGTGAGCCATTCTGTTGTCTGAAACTGGACTTTGTGATCCAGAACTAAATTAAATAGAAACAGTCCAATGAATGCCCAGTTTTAGTCAGTCATCCAAATAAATATTACAGATGTTATGGAGAGATACACTGTGGTCGAGATCATTGTAACTGTTAATTTTCAGCTTTGTCACTTCAAGACATTCTTCTTGAAATGATTAAAAATATGTAGGAAAGCACGATTTGAAAGACAATTACTTTTATTTAACTCCAGACTGAAATACAAAGGAATTTATGATGTTTGTAACTGTTTGATGTTATTTCTATAAAATGTGTTTGTTTCCATAAACAGGCATACAACACATTCTCAAGGTGGTGTTGAAGAATTATTGCAAATCTGGCTTGGTTCTTCTCTTTAGACAAAACATAACTGCATAATGGTGCAGCTTTCTGATCAGTTTTATTTTTTCTTCTTATATACCTGATGGCACACCTGGTCTTCACATGTCAGTTCCTACAGTAATAAAACAATTAGTCAGTATATAGTGGCACAAGTAGTATTTTGAATATGCAGCAGGTCGTGCCAGAAATCACTACAACTGAGCCACTGCAGTAAAAAGATGTGTTTATGAAGGAGTGAACAAAAAGAATAGTGTATTATACGTAACTAAACAGCAGGCATTCACCACATGTTGTAGTAATTAGATTTTGACAACTAAACTGAGCCTTAAGGAGCGTAAACATGAAAAATGCATAAAAATTGCTCTTTAATGCAAGGCTTTCTCAATATACTGTAATAGTTAATAATTCACGTTACCTCATAATTATAAGAAGTTGTGAAACAAGGAATAAAATAAAAAAAGGAGGATGCTTTGAACAGATGAAGACATTTGCTTCACAGACATGCCCAAACCATCTTTCAGGGGCCAGAACAACACAACATTTTTACCCAGTGTTGCAACTGATGCTTTAAAGGTTGGCACACGTGCACATTGCAATGCAGTCGGTTTGGGTAGTCTTCGCGTTAGCCTGTACTGAATCAGATTTTGAAGTGATCTGCAGGTGGCTTATCAGCCAGTAATACTATTTCTGAAGACTTGTCCAAATCTACTTGATCTCCCTGTTTCTGACAATCTTAGCCTGAATCCTGGTGCCAGCATGTAGAACCTTTGTTAGGTCAGGTTTTGAATATGTGTTAAAATAGCGCTGAAAAGGTGTACTGAACAGTTGGCTTTTACTTAAGTGGCAGACAGTGTTCTTCCATTCATTGCTTTGACCTTCCAAGCATGCACACTTGAGGCAGTGTACCTGGCCATACCAATTACCTGTAGGGCACACTTGTGAAGGACTAGGTATCTAGAGGTAAATCATGAGAAAGATCGATGAGCTCTGCTCCATAATCTTTCTCCACCAAGCTATTGCAGCATTCAACATTATCATGCCCATTTCTTGATTGCTTTCCCAAGAAACTCTGGAATCATTATCATATGTATCTAGTTTTTTGAAATCTCTCTGGACTTCACTTATTATTTCCTGCACAGGCTCTTCTGGTCTATCTTGGACTCACCTCATGTAGCTGTGGTCTCCAGCTTACTAACTCAGATGTATGAATGTTTCAACTTTTTTCTTGTACTAGCACACCATAATTGCAGTGTAGCTTGTTTGCAGGATCCTCTTGAATACTGAGCAGTTTCTGATCTGTATTACACCACTGTACGCTAAGACCGCATAGTGCTTCTTCCAGAACAAAAATGGCATTTTTCTTGCAATCTGTCCCATACGGTTTGGGGTTTTTTGGGGGTTTTGGTTTGTTGGGTTTATTTTTCCTACCACCGATGATATAAGAATGAGTTGATGTCAGAGGTGCAATGTAACAAGAAGGGTTAATAGCTGAAGGGCAGTGGACTGGAGCAAAAGAAATCTCTGAAGGATTATGACTTAATTGGGAGCAAGTGGAAAGAAACTAAGCATTCCTGAGTTGTAGCAGAGGGGGAATTTCCCAGAGCTCAGTTACAGGAGCTGTCTAAATAAAGACCATTCAAACTAGAACAAGTAACAAACCCCTTGAAATGGAAAATCACACTCTGTTGCAGTGTCAGTTACGTACTACAAAATCTGTGTAGCAGCCCATACCAGATGCAGTAGGTCTCCTTCAATCCAGTGCTTCCAGCCCCTGTTTTTCTTTTCACCTTTCTGAACACATACCAGTTTGTCACCGTCCCAGGTCACTAGTGTCTGCATGAATCAGATAATTAACTCAGATATGTTATCAAGAAGTTTATCAATACATGAAAATAAGCTCAATCGAACAATTAGCAGACACAATTCCCTACCATTCCCCACCTTCTTCCTGATACCCCCCCAAAGCAGACATTCAGCCAAAACCTGGATGCATTCAAGATGATAACAGGATTTTGATATGAAGTTTTTACAGTGCTTTGTTGTCATTTCCATACATTTCTTCACATACATGAATATAAAGTGTTCATACTATCTGGTGACTTGCTGGGTGACTTAACACTTGTGTCATGAACACAAATTGTCTTTTTATTTTCTTGCCATTTAAAGCCATTAATAAAAAGATTAGAAGGCTTGATGAGTGAAGACGTGGGGCTTATACCAACTAGTGCAGTGCTAACACCTCTTCTAGCTCTGCATCAAATAACAAATGGAAGTGTATGCTAATATAATCTCATGCAATAAATCTATTTATATATTGTCGTGCAATTTCACAAACGACCTTTAAAGAGAAAGATCATAACCTGGACAACATCCTCTAGCTGACCCTGCTTGAGCAGACTAGGTGATGTCAAGAAGTCCCTTCCATCCTCAGCCATTTCATGATTTGGTGTGATTCAGTCTATCACTAATAAACAGGATAGTGGGCATGCTGATTCTTGTCCAGGAGCAGGATGACCATATCTGTAACAAAAATTTCTCTTTACAGGCTAAATTATCTACTCAGATAAAGTAGAGTACATTCAAAGCAACTTTGTTTGACTTGTTCTAGATTTGAACCATTGTACTGTAGGGAGGCATTTAACCATGTATCACAGGCAAATCCTCATCTGAGACCAGTTACAATCAGTGGAAGTTCAGTTATTAAAAAGCTTTCTGAGTACTGGGAGCTTAATTTATTTTCTAGTTCAGCTCTGGGAGATTTATTTCACTTTTGAGGGAGCTTTCTATTAATAACAAGACAAAACTCATTCAATTTCAGTTAACTTCTTTCTTATTTACAGAGATTTTAAGACACATGCTCTTTAAATTATCCATGCCCTCTTTACATTTAAATGTTGCTTAGCAGTTTTATTACTTTCATCTACTTTCAATGTGTCTGAGGTGTTGTTTTGTTAATAAACTGAGCAGAAAATTCTTTTATAGCAGTCCAGAGAATAATGGCATGACTTGCTTCCTTGTGTCCCTCTCTTCTTGTTTAGAGACAAGTAACATGATTTGTTTAGGAAAGAGTATTAGTCAAAAATGGTTAAACCAAGTAGGGTTATAAATGTACAAGCTGTGTTCCCACCCTTCCTTCCAAATATCTGATAATGAAGAGGAGAGTCTGCAAATTAAATGATTTTGCACAGAAAGGCAATGGCTTTGATAGTGGTGAAGAGCACTAGAGTCTAAGGGTTTAAAGAGTGGTGCAACTAATGAGTCTTTAGATACTCAGTAATGCCTTCAACTGATCTAAAGAGGTGTGGGAGCAATGTTTCAAAGCATAAGGTCTGTCACAGGAATATGTCCCACCCAGTGGAAAAGAATGGGTCTTCCAGTTTCATGGCTTACAGTGCTGTGAATGAGAAGTAATTTGGAAGAAGTAGTAGGAATTACACTGCACCAAGTTTGAGAATGAAAAGTGATCCACAGTGAATAAACAAAGTCTTCTGTCTAATTTGTGCCACTCTAGTGAAGGATAATGTGAGTTCAAATGTAAACATGTCCTGTATGCTGCCAATTTCCTGTGGCAATTGCCAAAACAAAACAGGTCTTGTTGACAGTGAGCTTTGATACCAGCTTCTCAGAGTTTGGCAACAAGTTCCAAAACCTTGTTTATTGAGAAACTTTGATGGGAAAGACAGCATATATTTGGAGAAGAGCAAGAGAGCTGAGCTTAGTGGAAGAAGAAAACTGCAGTAATTGGCAGAGGAGTAGATAGGGGTAGATTCAGTGGGTGCTGACAAAGACAGGCAGGTGATGCAAGGTTAGCAAGACTGATGGGGACAGTCTGTGGAAATTAAAGATCTACTGGCCTTTCTACCTTTGAAAATCCTCTTTAAGTATTTTAGGGGTGACAGGAGAGTAAAACAGAAGCAGTATTGGTACAGAAACTTGACTAACACACAATATGGTCCTTGATCCAAACGTTACTTCTCTGCATATCTCACTGAAAGGTGTATAAATGTATGCCCACAGTTTCCTAAGGGAATTTTGAGCTCAGGTTACTCCTATAATCCTAAAGATATTAAAGCATGCACTGCTGGGCATCCTTGCCTGTCTGCCACTGCCAGTAAGCCTGCCATCTGTATCAGTGGCAGCGATGGCTCACATTTTGGTCTTGTCCCTTCCCAGAGCTCCCTTAAGGTTAATAGCTGAGAGAAGGTCTATTTTAACAATGTCCAACTGTTAAACTGTCCAGCTGAGGCTGAGCAGGATCAGATGGAAAACACAGTGTGAACCTTGTCACTCAGAACTGAGAATTTATACTGAGTCACAGAAAGTCCTCAATTCCATGGATAGATTTATAGTTTCAGGAAGAAAGATAAATAGGTCAAAATGCAGTCTTGCTACTTTCTAAATACATAAAGGTCTATCGGAAAAAAGCTGGAAAAATCTCCTACTAGAAAAACATGTAATTAACGATTGTCCTCACGTAGCTGAGTAACCATCCTGATTTGCATACGTAATAAATGCTTGTAGCAGGAAAGAAAACTGTCTCAGGATGCAAATTATTTCTGCTTTATAAAAAGCCCCTGATGTTTGTAAATATTGTGGGGGCTTTTTCATGTATTCAGCTTATTTTTGCAACTGCTCCCTCCTGGTGCTGGCTGTAGCGTAAACAGATACAAGGCACCGAACTTTTACCTTTACCACTCGATCATCCAGGCCTTTGGTGTGCTCTTCAAACTCCACTCCCACAGTGTAATTCAGTTCATAGTTTCTGAAAGTACTGAGTGTTTTTGTTTTGAAGTTATCACCATCCTGAACAATCTCCTTTGTTTGTTTCAAATGTTTCGCAATCTTACGAGTTGCAAAATCAATACCTGCCATAAAACAGAGGAGAGAGTATCACAATGAAAAGTCCCATATTTGCTACCAAAAATAAAACCCCCACAGCACTTATATTCATACATAATAAAAAATGCAAACACATTAGGTGTGGAACAGAGTTCCACAAATGACACTTTTACCTGCAACATTTTGTAGAGAAAATGATCACTCCAAATAAAAATAATTTTGTGTTTGTGAGTAGACTTTCAACTTGAGGATCTTCCACTGATTATAAATTTACTTATTAACAGGATATCTATGGGAATGTTGTGAGCTGAGTTACAACATACAACCAGTAGTGAATCCCAAATCTCAATTTTTTTTGAGGACGTGCAACAGTTGCTATTAGATGTACTTGTCTGTTTGGCCACAAGAAGCTGTGGGGTGCCAGGAGTGCTATTATCACTTTGTGCCTGGGAGCCATTCTCTTCTCTTCCGTAAGCTTGCAGTGTAAGTCATGTAGCACCTCACATGTGAGGGTGCTGGTGTGTGTCCTTCAGGGTTACAAATGTTGGCCTTCCCCAGAAGAAGAATCTCAAAATAATATTCCTTTTCAGAAAATAATCGTGTTAGAATGAGTATGTAACCAAGGGGATTTTGGCATAGAATCATAGAATGGCTGGGGTTGGAAAGGACCTTAAGACCATCTGGTTCCAATCCCCTGCCATGTGCAGGGGCATCTCACAGTAGACCATGTTCACCAGGGCTCTGTCCAACCTGGCCTTGAACACTGCCAGGAATGGAGCATTCACAACTTCTTTTGGGCAGCCCATGCCACTGCCTCACCACCCTCACAGTAAAGAACTTCTTCTTTATATCTAACCTGAAATTCCCCTGCTTTAGTTTGAACCCATTGCCCCTTTTCCTATCTCTACAGTCCCTGATGATGAGTCCCTCTCCAGTATCCTTGTAAATGATTATAATTGCACTGTAAATGTTAATTTTACAATGAACCTATAGTCTGTGGAACTGTATGAGGTTAAAAATTTTAAAAATATTGAAAATTATGCAAATGGATAAAAATAAGCAATGAAATAAAAGTATGACTTATCCTTTATTGGTAGACAGCAGACACAGAGATGAGGTGTAGTTTACATGTGACGAATTACAAGCCAAGAGTAGAAGTATCTAAGTACAGCATTTGATAGTTCCTATTTAATATTCTGTAACCATTTTATGCAGAACTGATCTCCTTAACATCCTTATTTTGTTCATGAAGAAGGCTAACATTAGAATGTAAACAACTGCTTGCAACTGAATGCATTGAAAGTTTCCAAACAGAGAATATATATTGCTACAATGACAGTTTGCCCCAGATAATCCACCTAGCGCCAGCTGCATTACCATCTGCAATAAATATTTCTGACCAGCTAACAGTGAATCTTGTTATGGTGCTATATGCAAACGAAATAATCTCACATGCTTCTTCAAGAGATTGAAAACTGCTTTTGATTTGTTAGCCATCCTTTAGTGGTTTAATCATTGTCAGCTCAGCAATGCCACATACTAATGGAGCCCTTTTTTTTGGGGGGGGGGGGTAGATTCATTGTACTACTTGTCAAGTACTAATCGAGATGAATACAAGGATTGGCTTGAAAAAAATTTTTTACTTTTTAACTTGGGGAATAATGTTCGTGTTCAATATTTATATTCAAGACTTCTTGGGTATATTTTATCTGTTGTGGTGGATTAGAGGTACCTCAGGGTCTGATTTATAGCCAGGTATCATAAAATCTAGTTCTCTCTGAGGAAAAAATTGTCTAAACTCCCGAAGAAATGCTATTTCTGACTAATATATTAGTCTTGCAGCTCCTGGAGAAAAATCAGGGGAGGTTTTATTAAAGCATGGTTTTCATAACTGCATTTTGAACAATACAAGTAATAAAAATGATATATTGTTCCATTCTAGTAGATTAAAATACTTTGTAGCATGCTTATGATAAAAGTTTCTGGCTTAAAGGGCAAAAGTATTCTTTAATTATAGAAATGCATCTGCATTAATTGAAAGGATGGATGAATTTCAACAAACCAAAATCACATTGTGCCTTGAACCTGACCACTTTAATGCTTACAATATCAACCTCATGTATATTGTGAGAAACAGAGCAGAAGAATATCTTTTCATGTAATACCTTTCCATGTAATTTCGTTCCATTCAGAGAATCACCTGTAGCCATATACATCTCTGCATTGATTCTGGTGGTGGTTTTTTTTTTTGCAGTATTTAATTAGTATAACTTACAAAATCTATATGCGTGTATATGCAAAAACACCCATCATGTACTTAGGAAGGGCCAGCTCCAAACAACTTCTCATGCATGTATAAATCTAACTTCTCCCTTTTTCTGCTGGTTTTGAAGTGCAGCTATATTACTGCAGTAGTGGAAAAGTGGTAACTGTTCTTCCAGTGCCAATCCAGATTGCACGAAGAAATTTTTGAGAAATGGTGATGTCTTCTATTATTTCTTCTTTTCAGCGAATCAAAGTCTACATCTTTGCTAACCTAAGTAGAGGAAGGATTTCCTGCATGCTACTTAGATAATCATAATGACCCGGAGCAAAAATCTTATGCCTTTATGGGAACAAAAATGCTTAGAAGGCATTTTATATTGAAAATAATAGGTGCAGCACAAGAAAACATTTCTCTCCTAAAATCAGCTCAGTCATTACAAAAATTGAGTCTATCAGTGTGGGGAAAAATAAATCTACAAACAACAAAAACTTGATATGAACAGACATAAACTTGAATTCAGTTAACAATATACTAGCATCTACAAGCAATATCCTGTACAATGGAAATACAAACTAGCTATTGGGCTTCTAATGCTAAAGAGGCTAACAGAGTAGTAATATAAGTTGCCTGAAGAGCAGAACATCTCTTTTTGCATGTATACATACATTGCCACCAATGATGGTCCTAGGCAAGTGAAATTAAGCTTAGTTAACCATGTAAACCTATCTTCAAGAAATCCTGTGACCGAAGCCTCGTTGCTGCGTTTGGACTCCCACAGAAGTTGTCAGAAATATCTGCCCATGTGGCTTTAATTCTTTTTAAAGGCTTTTTTCACCTTTATCATCCAACTGGTACATAGAATTTCTACTACTTCAAAGCATTAATTACTAAACACTGTAATTACTTTAGGGACATAGAATATCCCATCTTTAATGGAGTCGACCAGGTTGTGATTTGACTGTTACAATAAGTATATACCAGAAGTAAAAAATATTTAAATCTATAATTTCTCTATCTGAAATACCTGTATCATGGGTTTTTTTTCCATCTATACCTGGCTTTTCATTCATTTAAATAATGACTAATAAGTTTGATTACAACTCTTCTCTTGCTTATACTTAGATCACAGTCACTATATTACTTTTCTGAACTTTTAATGTGATTGGCAGAAACCCTTATGTCACAATGCACAGAAATAGTCTCATTAATTTTTAGGAGGATTTTACTTATAATAAAACATTTTCTCTTTATATAGTTAATATTTTTCATTTACCTAAAGCAACCATGTATCCTTCAAAGTTTTCATTGCTTTCCATTTCCCACGTCCCATTGTAATCAGCAGGCATGGTGGCAAGAGCTGAAAACCAACTGCAGATCAAAAGGTGAAGCTGGAAACAGGATCTGCTAAGAGGATGTTTTATAAACCTTTTCATATCTTTTATTTTTAATAAGATTTATGGTTTTGTAGATAATACAGTGTAAGGGTCAGGGTGACAACCCCAGAAAACTTTGCCTCCATTAACAAAGTTCACTTGAGCAGCTGGCAGATGCAGAGCACTCTGAAATATGTAGTCATACAGGACATGATTTTACAGTGACCTTTGTAAAGAACCACTAGCTATTATGGGATACCTTTGAAATATAGTGAACAGAGTGGCAAATTATACAACCCAGTTGAAGTTTCCAAGGTGAATTCTCTTTGAGTTCCTTTCTGTGTCACATTTCCCTATGAAGAACCAGTCTTACAGAGCTGACACTCCCAGAACTTCCATTTAAAATTAATGGGGGTCTTGAAAGTGCAACAAATGCAAGATAGGGCAGAAAAAGGAATACTTCTGTTGAAAATACTTTAGTTTTCTTTTGATTTTCAAAATATCTGTATATCAATAGCTGCATTTTTGTTTTGATTTATCAACAAGTTTAACAAATGTTTAGTAATTCAAAATCAGTCATAATTATATCAGTTCTACCCTAAAAAAGGATATTTTAATTACTCCTAAACATAGCAGCTTGTGTTAGAGAGGTATTTTTCATCCAGCAACATTACATTGTGGTGTGGAAAAGCAGATTTCAGTTGTGCAAATAAATACATTTGGAATGTGTCTGAATGGAGAATTTGAACATGTAGTGGAACTTTATCAGAATTTAAAGTAAGTACTAAAGGCAAATTATTACAAGTTAAGGTTTTAAATTCTTTGTCTTTCATTAGCCAAGATAACTTATAGAAATGATCAGGAGTCCAAAACTCCTTGATTTTCCTTTCTCTTCTTTCTCTCTCTTTTTTTTTTTTTTTAAATAGGAATATTATTAAAAATTTTACCAGAAAAGTATTAAAATCTTAAACTTCAACTCAGAAAAAAGTAAATTGAGTTACTGATCTTATGATATCTCCTTTACGCTTTCATTTTAAAAAAACCATTAACGTAGAATTCCATAAATGTTGAAAAAAGGGATTAAAAAAACTAAACAACAAACCACTAAAAAAAGTTGAGAGTTTCTGGGAGCTCTGTTCTTCAAATGTCCTTGTGTGATACTTAAGGAGCTAATTTAAGAGAAGGAAAAGAAGTATCTTGATCTATACCTATAGGACATATTAAGAGGGCTTTCAATCAGATATGAGACAAAGGCTCAAGGAACTGCAGTTACTGCTAAAGTTAGATGAATTTCTGTGTGATGCACATAGGAAGATACCTGCATCCTTACCTATATAATTTATCTATAGACCAGTGAAATTCGTAATTGCTGAAATCTTTAAATAGGTAGAGGCTGGCTTGCTCAAACATATGCCTTGTTTCAAGCACAATTTATTTAGCTGAACACATCTACTTTTCTTTCCATCTACTTTACATTTCCTTCCACTACAAATTTCTAGGCAAAACACTATGAATGATGTTATGTTGAAAGGGAAATTTGAAAAACTTTGCGCTTAAAACATTGTTCTGTAGTGCTATTATGCAATACTTATGCAGTAAGTTTGATTTTACATATCTTTGTGTACTTCTGTTTTTAGCCTCCACATTAATATATGCATTCTTATTCTTTATACATTTTATGTATATGCTAAAAGATTCTATAAAAGAGAAAAAAAAATATGTTATTGCTCAAGTCAGTCACTCACAACCACTCTAAGTGGTGTAAGGAGCATCACTTCCCTTGTGTACACTCCTAATAATCTCCAAGTGCATTATCACACTGGTTTTCCAACGAGATGTTATTCTTTCCTTCAGTGTACTAAAGGAATGATGTCCAGTTTATGAGCAGGTACTCAGTGTTTTTACCTTGTATCTTCAAATGCCTAGTGGTAGATTTATGAGGAACGAATCAGATTGACTGTCTACAACCACCTTTTAAAATCAGAGCATATGCTAGAAGCTCACAGTGAGACATTTTATATGCTCATTGGTTTTAGATCTGAAGTAGTTTGCTTTGTATATATGAGTCAGTTTGCTAAGATATGGAAGTGACTGAAGCTGTATCTTGTGATGATCAACAATTAGCACCCATTAAGAATTAGCAAAAAATAGTTCTATAGCTGTAGATATGTAGAGGTAGGCACGTTCAGAGGCAATGAACATTCTTTATGTATAAGGCCATAATTTACAGCATACACATATAATCATACAGGTTTTCACAATGATGCTTTGTTTATGCCTATCCCTTATTAGTTCTTTAAATAGCTGGGTTTTTTTTCAGCATGTGTATTATGTAAACTCCAGATCAGGAGTTCTCTAAGCATAAATTTGTCCATCAGCCTGAAAAAGCTCTTTTGAGCCTTTTCAGGTAAACATTCAACTAGGAGGTTTACAGACACTAAATTGAACCAATTCAAAGAACTGGCTAAGTAGGGAGTTAATAAAACATGAAATATTGACTTGACAGAGCCATGAGATGCTTCATGATCTTTTAAAAAGTGGTGTGTTAGGGTTCATAGAAAGAACTTTCAGTTTAGGAATCAATATTTTGATAAGCAAGTAAAACCTCTACCACATTCAGGTACCTGCCTAAATCATATGGACCCAAGAAACAGAACAGAGGCTGTTAACACAATTTTGTTTTGAAGGCTTACGTGAATAATTGAAGCCAGCAGATCACCAATCCACTGTATCCTCAGCATTCTCTTGGGTCTGTGCCTTGCTAGTTACAGTGCCCTGCCCCTTGTCACATTCCAGCTTTAAAATGTAGACTTATTATCCACTTCAAATCTTAGAAACTGTTCCATTTGCTCTGTGTTTATTGTCTGTATACTGAATACATGGAGACAGACTGTCAAAATGGCAAAGCAATATTTCCTTTCTATGCCATAAGTTTGGGGAAATTAATAAAGGTGCCCTGTCCTAATCATCATGATTATTTTGTTCTCAGCATCCTTTCCTTGCAAGACCCACAGTAATATCACAAGGGATGCCATGTGTATAGCATGTGTTGAACCCTGGGAACTGGTGGAAGGTTAGTGTTTTCTTCAGGTTTTCCTATATGTGTGTTAAAAGGCAAAGCTCTGAACTCATAATTTGTGTGTGAGGTTTTAATGCAAGGATGAGTTTCATGGCTGAGTACTAAGAGCTTGGAAATAAAGTGAAGTCATGAAAAAGCTGAATACTTCAGTTAAAAGCCCAAATAACTCTTTCAGTCTTTATTTGTGTGTGAAGAAAAAAAGATACTTTTCTTGCCTCTGTCCTACAAATCTCTACTGATCTGTGGCAATTAAAAATAAAAATATCTCATAGGAAGAGCCAAAACTGACAAGGTTGAAAACTGAGTCCCAAATGTTGCTGTGGAATGAGTCAGCAGCCATGGAGGCTACTTCTAACACTTGCCTCCAGTTCTCTCACTGTAGCTGAGACTTGCCCGGAAGAGCAATCATATATGGGCAGCTGAACCAAGTTCAGCCTTCTTGCAATCTGAAATAGCTGGTGCTACACTCTCCTTAGGAAATGCTATGCTGTAAAGCACTGTTAGGAGCACTATATAAAGAACAGCGCTACTGGTCAAACAGAATCTTTTCTGTAAACTTTTGTCATGGTATTTTAAAGAGATGGTAGCATGCTTCCCACTCTGTCCTCACCTCATTTAATTTCCCTTTTACATTATCTAATATACATATATAACACAGGAGAAAAATGCCTTGTACTCCCCCGATCAGCCCCTACACTCCTCATGCTTGACAGCTGGGACTTTTGCCTATAGTTATTTGGTTGTTGTTTTAACACACAGAAATATGGCAAGCTGCGTAAGTCGTTCTTAGCAACTGAATTCCCCTGCAGGATTCAGACAGAAGCAGCATGGTCATAGACACCTATTATTATTTTTAACTTGTTAGCACATGTGCACTCCCGAGGTTTATTTTTGCTTTTAAGAAAATTAATCACTCAAAATGTATTCAGTGATGGCTGCTACAGCAAAAACAGTCAGAGGCGCCATCTCACCAGGCTCAGGGCTCTGTTCTGCGCAAATATGAGTCGTCATATTATGCAGCTAAAAGTAAGTTGGAGGAAAACAATCTGCTTCTGGTCAGTGTGTAAGATGACTTGCAGGCCATGGGGGTTCAGCTGAGTGAAGACAGGCACCAGCTATTGTGTAGAGAATTCACTAAGAAGTGGAAGGAGGAGTAGGAGAGACATGTACAGCAGGAGAGCACAGAATCGCAGAATGGTTTGGGCTGGGAGGGACCTTAAGATCATCCAGCTCCAAACCCCTGCTGTATGCAGGGACACCTTCCACTAGATCAGGTTGCCCAGAGCCCTGTCCGACCTGGCCTTGAACACTGCCAGGGATGGAGCATTGAGAACTTCCTTGGGCAACCAGTACCAGTGCTTCACCACCCTCGTAGTGAAGAACTTCTTTATTATATCCAACCTAAATCTTCCCTGTTTAAGTCTAAACCCATCACCCCTTGTCCTATTGCTACAGTCCCAGATGAAGACTTCTTGGCCAGCAACCTTGTAGGTCCCCTTCAGATACTGGAAGCTCCTCTGAGGTCTCCACACAACTTCTCTTCTCCAGGCTCTTCTCCAATTTTCCTAGCCTGTCTTCACGCCCCCTTAACATCTTCATGGGCCCAGCAAATAGTCTTTGACCCCAGTTGTTACTGGTTGCCCTCCACAAATATCAAATGGCACTGAACTTCAAAGCCAAAACAGATATCTGCAGGAACAAACTTCACTTTGACACCCAAGAGAAGGGACGATTCCTCCATTCACTTCTCAGTAGAAGAACGTGTCTGATGTCTTGTTGACAGAACAGCAAGGATGGGCTGCAAAAGCTGTGGTGGTGGGAGGACGTAAACAGAGGATGCTCTTAATGCCAGTTTGACAAATTTCGTGTTTACCTTCAGTTTAAGCACAGATGCACAAAAATATATTTTTAATCAT